AATACTGAGCTCAGCACAACGATCTGGATCCTCCGGCCGTTGTCAATGACATTCTCACGCTATTGTGGGAAACATTGAGTATGCTTCAAAGGTCTGAGTCAGCCCGCTATAAAGTGGGTACCTAGTCCTTATCAATGGAAGGGCTATGACCAACGATTCAGTAACAAAAATAAACTAGAAATAGAAAGTATCATAGAAATTTTAAATACTCATAGTAATCAATTACAGAGAAACTTGTAACATTTGAAGTTTCTGATCTAACTTAACAGACAAACACAGTTCATTACTTAGGATTCACTTTCGTCAGAAGCAGGGATACCTTCATGGCGCAAGTTACGGCAAGTTAAAATTATTGAGGGAGGCATATTTTGACGGGTTTTTTGAGAATTTTTGGACTAAGGGACATACCGCAGGAAGTGCAATTGTATATTATCTACAATTTTTCTAAATCTATCTTAGCTTGCTTTGTTTCTAAGAAAAGTTGAGCAATAAAATATTTTGAGAGGACGGATGGTTAGGTCCTTGCGCCATCGACCTTGGGGAAGATGGGCACCCCTAGTCAGAAGAATGACCTGGCGTCCACATGTGAAACAGTAGACAAGAACTACTGTGAACTACAGATGAATACTTATACACTTTTTTAAATTTATACGGACCTAAGCATCACATATTTCCGGCATAGAAAAAAAGACTCACATCCAAAATATAAACAATTTTCAATCAAAATATTAATACTGATGTTCACTCTATACGTCAGCAACAAAACAATACACACCGACCTACGAATACTGTTCAAGACCATACTCATTCCTCGTAAAAGAGATTTCATGACAAACTTAAAATGCGTTACATCAAACATACAAAGAATGTGGCGACAATTAGTCCGTGTTATAGATAACTTTCTATCAAATTATTAACATCCGCCTAAAACTTCGTGAATAGCTTCAACTCTTCGTAACCTACAACTTTCTTATTTACGAATATCCTCGGAATAGGGTTGTTTTCAATCTGGAGATTGGCAAACTTTGACTATTTAATTAGGTACTAAAAACTCATGAACACACATTTATATTCTACTCGAATCATAAGATGATTGGATCACAAAATAGAGAATAAAGGTGGCGCAATAGTTTTGCAGGTCGCCTATTTTTGATTTTGTGATCATATGAATTCTCGTAGATACAAAGTTTGTAGGTTACGATAAGATGAAGTTATATTGAATATTGATAATATAAAGTTCTAGACGAGTGTTAATAATTTGATAAGGAGGGATCTGTAACACTGACAAAATGGGCATGCCGGAACACACCAGAAAAAGGCTGAAAAGGAGCTGATTAAGAGACATCATGGTATAAAAATTTCATGTTAGAAGGTGACGATCGGTGCTATCCTCCCTCATGCCAGACATGCCTGTTATTTCTGATATATTTATACAATATTCGTTTATTATCCCGATTTAAGTGACGCGTGCGGATAAAAAAATAAAATAAATAAATAAAGCAGTCGGTTCTTAATAATTTTATTAACACATTTATCAATCGTATATTTAATCAGTTATCAATATAAATATATATATATATATATATATATATATATATATATATATAGAGAGAGAGAGAGAGAGAAAGAGAGAGAGAGAGTGAGAGAGAGAGAGAAAGTAAAGAAATAGATCCATATATTTTTGTGGGTTAAAGATAAACTGTTTTCGCCATACATTGAGTGCAAGTGGTACGGCATATAAAGAAATAATTATATATTCATTAAATAATCATGATTCATTAAACTTTAAAATAACCCCTAATGAAATAATATCATTTTATTTTATTTTTATCTAAACGCACCTACTAGCACTAAACCCAGACAATAAAAATCACACATAGTTAAGCCTTATTTTATTGCATGCCGAAGTTTCGGCCTAAGGTTTTGTTTGCTGATATTTTATCCAGAAGAAATGCTTTAAAACTAACTCAATTTGAACACCAATAATATACTTTTATGATGACTTCATGATTACAATAATTGAAATCTAATAATATTATTTAAAAAAAAAACAAGAAAAACAAAGTAAATGAACGAATAATACATTGAGCAACGCACGAAGAAAAATAAAACAAAAGCTATGCCACAAGTTTAAAGCCGCTGAGAGAAGCCTGTCAAAAGACTGGTTCCATAAATCTCTTCCCCACTTACGTAGCAATGAGGTTTCTTTTTAAAATATCATTTGCATGTTTTACCTTAGTAAAATCTAGTGTTAGTAGGGTGACGTAACAGCCTATCTGAGGCTTCTAACCATTGTCAAGACATATAACACCAAAAAATTTCATATTAAATGAAATAACGTTAGAAATTTAGTGTAATGGAGACAATGAAACGAACCGTTAATTAAAATGTATATTGCATGCTTATAAAAAATGAGACGATATTCGTAGGATGATAATGAACTAGTTATTCACATAAGGAAACAGCGCTAAAAAATTGTATATTAATACATCATAATATTAGTCTTAAACATCTCCTGAATCGATTCGAGTTCACGAGATATCGAAAAAAAATTTGACAGTTGCTTAACTTACAAGTTTTCTCAACAGTAAAAAGAAATATAAATAAAATTTTACTTGTTGCAAAAAAAGGTTTTTTTATGTTGTTCCTGTAAACTTAGTTACATAGCACTTACGCCTAACGAAATTGGATACATCGAAGGGTTAATAATACGACTAGGGAGCTAGCTGCAACTCAGCTGTTTCGAGAAAACTAGATAACTAAACTAGGCTCGAGATAGAAACATTTTTTTTTTCCATCTAAGAAATTATCTTATCCAATTTTGAAAAGTTACAGCTGTAGATATTAGTTATCTATAAGTAGTATCTTGCGGAACTAACTTAATGAAATCATTCCATTCAATCACTCATATTTTGAGAAAAAAAATTTTTGGTTACTTATTTGTAGTACTTATCACAGGATTTAATGATATTAATCTAAAACAATTTTATTCAACTGATACCAGGCCACTCTAGAACCGATTTGTCATACAACTTGAACACTATTTCATTAAAAATTCAACTACTAAGTTATCCTCGGAAGGACGAGATCACCTCATTACTAAATCCTACGTCATAGGAAACACCCGAAAAGTTTTTATATTCCGACTTCCCATCGCGAAAGTTTTACCCACGATGACTTTCTGAAACTTTCGTTGAAGGCAGGAGCACATCAATCATTGATTGTGATCATAACAGGCCGCCGGAGAAGAATGAGTGATTGTACTCGGAGTTTTCACAATATAAATCTCAGCCTAAGTGGCAGTGCGAAAATATGCTAGGAATCATTCTTTAAAACCGAGATCATTCTTACAGAAGAATACTTATAGCTACTATTAGTGCAAAAGGTCGTATGTGAAAATTAAAGTGTTTTACAGGAGAGCATAAAAACTGATCATCTCTGTATCATTTATTAGTATAATTTCATATTTTATTTTTCTCCGCTAATTTCCGTAGGTATAAACTAAGAAATGTCACCTTTAGCACAAAAAGAATAAAAATGAAAAAAGTTTAAATAAGATCTTTTGCAGTAACAGTAGCGATATAATTTATAAAAATAGAGTAAAATTACTGCATTGATGTGAGGAATCTGGTAAATTCCTCACTGAATATGTTCAACCGATCCCTAGACAAAGATAATGGCAACGAACCTTAAAAAAATGAGAATCGATAATCAAGGAAAGATGTCAAGTCTTTGAGAACTGTTTTTTAGATTCAAAATAAGATTATTTTCTTTTTCAATAATCTCAAAGAAATTGCATAAATTGAATCCTTAAACATTATTAAAAAAAAAGGAATGTTTTTTTCCCTAATTGCGTACCTGTACCGTTAGTGAAGTCTGAACCATTACTTGTTTATAAAACAATATATACTCTTCTACGATGAGACCAGGGATTCCTGCATAATTATTTTAAGGATAATCTATTTTATGGCCAAACATAATTGAGTAGCCTCATATCTATTTTTAAAAAGTTGACAAAAAGTCAATTTTTGTAACTTAGCAACCATCCTAACATTTTTTTTTCCAGGATTCAAATGGAAGATTCTTAAATGAAATCATCGGAAACCGTTTGAATTGAACCTATAAAACAAAATTTGACCTTTTGTTTAGTTTCATTGTATTACAAATTTAACGTGATCTATCTTGAAAAATGTATAAGCTCGATTCGGATAGAGAAGAATCCTCGTGAAAACGTTTAGTCTTGTTACAATACTTCAATGGGAACCGACTCAATTCGGTAATTTCTTTTGTGTATTTGAAATAAACTTTTTTTATTTTAAAAATAAAATAAGTTACAAACAGTCTATTTAAGCTTCTTAAAATTCAAAATAGAATAAATGTATTTTAATTTTATTTTTTATTTCAAATACTGCCCAGGTCTCTTCTTTATCAACCGTAAGTATCCAAAAACTTCGCAGGCAAAAAAGTTGCATTTCTGACAACTTTCTTAAATTGAATTTAAAAACTTTATAAAAGCTCTTAAATTTTCATAAAAGATCTTTGTAGTGTAAATAATAATACTTATTTATATGGTCGAATGTTATATATTTGGCAAAGAAAAAAAAAAAAAAAAAACTTGTAGCACTAACAAGGTCTTGGGTTCAGTAGAATGTGAGGAAGTACTGTTACAAATCCAACGGTTGTGCAGAAAGGTGACTGGCCAATATCACGCTCAACCGCCAGGTTTTCCCCCTTAATTAAGAATATCCACTTTATAGATGCTGGGTTTGTCCCAGGAGGGTCTCAGGTCCCAGGGTCGACCCATGGCTGATGTCAAATTACTAGTCATCAGCCGAACTCGAACCCGGACCTTTGAGCTCTGGAATTTAGTACTCACCGAGTGAACTACCCTGCTCCAGCCGACAAACAAAGTCAGATGTTATTAAAATATATAAACATAAAATCTTTTATCAGCTGACACTCGAGTTAAATCAGTGCCAGTCTATTTGAATCTCGCCAGTTTACTCACTCTGGCAGCTGCAGCCAATTAGGTAAGACGTGCCATTCGGTTTTCGCAGTTGGAAACGGTCCAGGCAGTAGCGGATTCCACCCACATTCCCATCAGCGTGCACGGCGAAATGACCGTCGTCGTTAGCTAAGGAAATTGCGGATCGCAAAAAGATAACGTAGGAAGGGAAAGTGATCCACGTAACTAATAAGGGTTATGAGGAAATAATGGAGTTAAGAGAGGAGATATGTATGCATCATCCTCACTATGTTATGGTTCATTTCGCTTCATTAAAAAAAAAATTAATAAACAAAATAAAAACTGGCAATTTTCCATAAAATCGTCCATATAAAAGAAAAGAATCCATACTCCAATTGTAAAACCTGAAAACTTTCAATCGAACGTTGATATAGTTCTCATCTGTTTATTTCTCTACGAGCATGTATCTGAAGAGAAGGTCTAACATAAATATAATATAATATATTACTAATACAGCGAATGTAAATTCGTATTCATGGAGTGAAAGTTTTGACCAGTTTGTATATGTAGATATTTCGCTTAATCTCTCGCCATAGAGGTGAGAAGCTTGATAAAATTGATTAGTTTTAAATAACACTTTAGTATCATGGTGTGCTTAATTTATCTGACATTAAGTCCATTCCGACATATTCATGTTATGCAGAATGTCCAGCAGCCTTATAAGACTTTCACTATATTACTTTTTATTGCAGTTTTTTTTAATAGTAAATTAACGTGAGGCTTCTTAGGCAGTTATATACGATGCAAGAGCTATGAAGCAGGCCTAATCAAATATTTCATAATGCACAACACTACTCTATTAAGTCAACCAAAAGCGTCTGAATCAAGTGAAAAAGTGGGTTATAACTGATGGGGGCAAAATAATCTCGGTATCCACTGCAATATTTTTGAGAAATGATTGAACCAGTTTTGAAACTAATTGCATCATATTTGAATTTCTGTTAAACTTTTTCTTTCATTTTAAATCGTTCCGAGATTTCAGAACTTAAAAAAAAATATTTTTATACAGCAAGCCTAATTATTGCTTTCACTTACTATATATGAAGGGTCAGGAGAAGAAACCAGGTACTCAATTTTTTTTTTTTTTAAACTTATTGATTTAATGAATTAATAATGAGAACACGCATTCTTCCAGAAAGTTAGAATGCGAAGAAAAGAAAACGCAATGTAGCTTTTCATTCAGAATTAATTGAAACCAATAACTCAAATAAAAAAAAGCGACTTACCTACCTGTTTTTTCTCCTTACCCTTCAAGCGAAATTTATGGAAATGGAAAGCATTGCTGCAAAAAATACTAAGTAAATGGAAAAAAATTATATTATTGTTATATTATAGAAGTGAATTTCATTTTTATATAGTTTGTATAAAATTTAAAAAAAAAATAACATGAAGAATCTTTAAGTAAATTCTTTGCAGAATTCGAAAATGGCCTTCCTGGGTAGACAATTAATTAAATGATGCATTTCTTAAGGCAGCTAAAATATGAAGAAAAAAAAAATTCAAAGCAGCTATTCGTTCGGAATTCATTGAACCAAATAATTGACATAAACAGAAGTGACTCACCTTTTTTTTCGATGAGCGTGCATACGAAATAAATAGAAAGGGAAACAATTTCGAAGGGTTTTAGACGAAAATAGATTTTATTCTTTTATTTTGTAGAATTAAGTATTACTTGCACATTTTTTGCATTAGAATTTTATAATACTTTTAATAGTCTAATACTTCTAATCAACTTCAAATATGTAAGTTATTAGAGTGCTACCAATGAGTAGATTCTATACAAACCTTGTCAAGCAACGTATTTCTCTATATCACATTTACTGAATGTACATTAATTTGTATACAGTAGTAAATTCATAAATAATAATAACAAAAATATAGGCAAATTCTTTAGCAGTCGAAATGATCTATTTGGGTAGACGAATAACTAAAACTCTCGAAAAACAGTACTTTGTAAGTACTCTTTCAAGGCCAATGGTTGTGCAAGGGTCAAGATGTTCGAGCTGGGATCACGCTCAACCGCCAGGTTTTTAGCTTCAATTAATTAATTTAATTAAGAGTACCCAATTATTGAAGCTGGGTGTGCCCCAGGAAGGACGTCCGATCAGGGCAGATGAAAAATTATTTCGATTCGAACCCGGAACCTTCAGTGAGCTTTGGAAGTCAGTGCTTACTCACTGAGCTCATGTACAGCTATTAATGATGAGTTTAGGAACGACCCATTGTCTTTCAGCGGAAGGCTACAAAACAGGCAAAAATTAAAAAAATATATAAGGAAATAATACCAACTGAATTGCTGATTTTCAAAACATAAAGAAATAAAAATAAGTAAAACGAATTGAGAATAACAACGTTGAGCTTATAGTGAGGTAACATTCAGTATATTCATCGACACCAAAAGTTGTGGTGACCGCTGAGCCATCGGTGAATTAATCAATGAATAAAGAAACGGGCTGAATTTCATCGTTCATTTATATCGATGTGCACAACGCTGAGTTTAGAAAATTGCCTCACCTTCAAGATGCGTTTTTCTAAAAATTACTAAGTCATTCTAATAAACCTACCTAATCTTACTGATTAACAAGATGGTCTGTATTTCTTATTTAGTCATTGGATGACGTACTCCTAAAACTGCAACTCCTCGAACCGCTCCTTGGATATTCTCGGACCAAGGAGGATGGGATAGATGGCCTGGAGTGGAGTGCAGGTGCCCTGCAAAAACCTGCTGCGCTCTCAAGGCCCAGCCCGGATCACCTTCACGGTGTAACGTCTTCTCCGGGTGCATCATCGCCGCTTTATCTTATCTTCCGATGTTTCAAGAGGATTTAAGGCAGGAGTAAAGTATAGTTATGTTCTTAATATTAAAAACGTATTTTGGATTACATGGGGACACATTTAGAATAAATATTATTCCATTGCAACTATTTCAACCTGAAACCAACCATTCTCAATTAACGCATAATAGATAAAGAGGAGGTTAGCCATTTCTTTCAAATCCGTCATTCCAGGAGCTGCATTTAGCAATCACATTGGGATAAAATATCATTAAATTATAACAAATATTATACTCAATTGTTTATAAATCATTCTAGTTAATCGTTAATCAAATCTCTATTATTGTTATCTATGTCACTAATAATTTTGTATTCGTGTGTATGAAGAATATGTTGTTTAATGCTTAGCGAATATTTAGCATTTTCGATCTTTATGTCAATGAATTTATTTGCAAAGATCAATGAAGAAAATAAAATTTACACTAGACGCTAGTAATGTAAACACGTCTCTCAGTAGAAGTGGATTTTGATGAATGAGGAATCAAAAGAAGGAATTTAAACTAAAATAAAAAGCATTGAAAAAGTTAGGAGGTTTCAAAATTTACCAGGGGAGACTAACTATATAAATGTAGATGGATCTCATAAGGGAGACAAATTCTTATTTAAGGGTTTTTAGAAGTAAAATATTGAAAATCACAAAAGTTATTATAACTTCGACATGTCCTCACTTATTCACACAAATATTAGGATGCATTTGGGGCCATATAATCTACACAATGACACAAACTAGACGCCATCAGCAAACAAAGTAGGCATGGAGATAAAAATAAAAAAGATTGGAGAGTTTTTTGTTATTTATTCCTCACAAGACGTAAAATCTAAAAGTTATTGGTATGGTTTCGAAGAACAATAATTTAGCTTTCTAACAGTTGTAGTAATGTTGACTTAGAAGAAAAGTATGAGGAGTAATAAATATTGAAATAAACGGCATGAAAAAAAAATCCTCCCGCAAAATTAAGTCCAAAAATTTATATATTTTTTAATTTCAAAACAAACTTGTATTTAAGAGTTTAAGTGGAAGCTAAAAACGAATCTTTGGGTTTTTGTAATTTATTGTACTTTAGAATTCGTTTAATACAATTATAATATGTTTTTCTTTTTTCACAAAAAAAAAAACCAACAAGTCGATTGATATATAATAACTTAAATAATTACGCAGAGCAAAGTCAAAAAAACCAATATATATATTTATATTTTTTTTTCTCGGCTCCTGGGACGCATAGTCACTAACCCTCGAACCTGGATCAAATATTTTTTGATTTAGTATCACAAAAAAAAAAGATTTAATTGAAATCGATGACCCCATGTCCGTAACTTCACCTCATTAGATGCTATCAAAAGTCAACGGAATGAGAATAAATTGTGCATTAAAGATTTCGATGTTCTCCAAAGAGTCTTAGGTACTGTTGTTGTCAGGGGATACTTATTGAATCTTTAGATTTTAAAAATTAAAATATTGCTATTTTTGATAGTCTAAGACGAAGTAAAAATCTATCGAAAAGATAAACGGAAAATAATAGCTCTATGAGCCCATGGGCACCTCGAATAATATAGAAGGAAACGATTTGATATTATTAATAAATAAATAAAATTACGGTTTAAATTTTAAATTCTTGGTAAGTGAGAGAAAAACAAACCAAGGTTGTACTGCATCAAACAAATAGGTCTCGACAGTTGTGATCTTAAATGTTTCCATTACTTTAATTAAACTGTGTAGTGAGTATTAAAGTAAATATCTAAGCGTTATCTAGGTGTAATAAATTTTGCTAAACTCTCAAAAGAAAATCGCTGATTAGATACTGCATAAGATGTGACATATTAATCGACATTCAAACAAACAATAGATACTTCAGGCGTTTTATGACCTTTTTAGGATATAAATAAAAAACAAAAAAATATATATGGGGAGAGGAGGTATAGTGTTTAAAACAAATAATTAGAAATTGTTTTTATTGAAAATAAAATGTACCCAAACCATTAAACAACCTTCATTATATACATAATTTCTCATAATATATAGATACATTAAAAATAAAAGAGATGCTATATTGCAGCTCAAAAACATGTTTAACGAATTCAATGCAGTCCCTATTTTCTTTTAACGTTCCGTTTATAAAATTATTCCGTTTATTCAGAGCGAGATCGAATTTCCTTTTCTTCGGTTGATCATTAGTTTTAATTTAATTTTTTAAATTTTTATTCGTGCATTAGCTCTGGTATACTTGGTAGTCATTAACTTATGACCAACCAACTTGAAAGAAATTTAATTTCGATCAGCCATTCTTTCATTAACATTAATGCACATACATAAAGGATTTACTTTAACGGTTCACTAACCAATCACAATTCAGAGAAAATATGACGTAAGGATTCTACGCACTATTATATTACATCATACGGCACAGTTTTCAAATTAGTCGTAACATATACAGGCCTAATTACAGTGATGTGAAAACGCTGACCTGAATTTTAACCTATTATGTTAACATTCATGTTAACAAGGTCTACTATGGAATTTATTATAAAAAAATCTTCACATTAACAAAAGAAATTTAAATTTGTTCTCCCTTGATTAAACTTAAATTAGACTCCAGTGAGCCTTGATATTTGATTTAAATCTTAAAGAGATTGAATTTTGGAAGATGATGCGGATTTTGACTACGGCTTGGACAATAATTTAAACTTTCTTTTCACTCGTTTGATTTTTAAATATCTGTTAATTATTTCTTATGAATGAAAAACATTGAAAAAGAGCAGAAGTAGCGACTTGATAAGATAATACTAAGAAACATCAGTAATCGAAACGGGATTCCCTTTTACGGCGAGAACGCAGTATATCGATCTTCAGATAAAGAATTTATCCCTAATACCACAAACTTCCAATACAAATGACTACAAGATCTATTCGAGATACCCAACTTCAGTCCCAGATAAAAGCGGTTAATTTCAAACGTATGACTTATTAATATACACAAGGCGTAGTAAAAATCACAGTGATCAGAGATCAAGCTTTATATTTACAGAGGAGTTAAAATGGCAGAGATTGAACTATTTTATTTTGTCAGCTTCAATTTGAGCCCTGGTAGAGTTGTTTAAGTTCCTAAGTTAAAGAGAAACGAAATTTCAAAATTAGCATTTTATTAAAAAAACACGAGAAAATACTATTTTGAGATTTTACTTTAGCCAATATAGAAACTATATAAAAACCCCATCATCCCAAAACAAAAATCAACGTATCTTTCGCCCTGGAGGGATATCTGGGAAAGTACCAGAGCATAACATTTGTGAGGATGTATCCTCGGGGTGAGTTCTGTTCTAATATTCAACAGCCTAACCTGAGACGCTTAGACGGAGGTTCGAGTCACGACTTGGAGGGTTCATATTGAGAGAAGGGCCTATTCACAACTAATTATGAAAACGAAAATTGCCCCTCATGTAGCGTTAGGACGCTCAATCTTTCACCAGTCTTGCATAGAAATAGAAACAAACAAGAAAAGTGAGCATTAACAGACAAGAAGGAGCCAATATTCAATACCTCCAGGCATCGAAAAATTGTGCTGGACTTAGCAGAATGAAGATAATCAATCCACTTGACACATCTTTGGAGTAAACACAAATCATATTTAAAGGAGCTTGGAAATGTGTTAAGTTTCAAATAAATATATTTTAGTTTTTATCGATAAGCTTGTTTTAATGTATATTTTACTCGCCCCTAATATTGCGTTGTATCAGTTTATTAAAAATTAACTTTATTGTAGAATTTATATATTTTTATACAAACAAAATTTTATTAATTTGAATTTGAATGTTTAAGTGTTTCTAATTGTATTTTATTTAAGTATCTATTATAATAAAATTATTTAATCTAGACCTAGTCAAAATCGCCTCTAACTCATATATATTTTTTGGATTGGTTTCATTTTGAATATCGCCATCCAATTACGGCTAGCCTAATTGTCAACAATGTCAATATATTCAATGGTAAAGCTTTCATCACGACTCTAAAACATTTTTATTGAAAAATGTGCCTCTGTAGACTTGATGATTCTTTCTTCGGATTCTTAAATTAGACGAACGTGTCAGAAATATATAATTTTAGAAATGATTTTACTAGACCATTTAAAAAGTTAACCAATATTGAATTTAAAATTTCATATGTTGTTCAACGTAAGAAAGTATCTTAATATGATTTACAATAAAAACTAAATACTACATTACGCATTGATCTATATACCATTTATGCGCAGTATTTTGGACAATCAATTAGTAGAGAAAATATTGTAATTTAATTTAATGTTACAGATAGCTTAAACGAATTTAATTTGGAATATTTTTTTTTTTAAGAAAATGATTATTTTGCAAAGATATTATGTTATAATTACAAATAATTGAGTTATTGCTAAATTTCTAGATGATAGTGAGTAAGATTGATTAACTGTTTCAACAACATTCGCCTCTCTAATATACTGCGTGACGCAATGCTGCTTATATGTCTTCTAAGTAGACTTATATCATTGTACGATGTAACAGGTGTAAAGTTGTGAATACATCATTCAACATTTTAAATACTGTCATCTATAACACTAGAGGTCTTGCAAAAAAATTATTTTTTATTATAATATAAGATAATAAAAAATTAAACAGCCTTTTTTCAGCATACAAATAAAAATATCAGAATAACTTGTTTTGGAGCAAGAAAATAATAACAAAACACACTCTCAAAAAAAAAGGCGATAAATGTCCTTATTGACACAGAAATGGATTCATCATTAAATAGTTTTAAGAATACAATTTAAAAAAAATAAGACAGAATAAGTGTTTATCATGAAAAAAAATCAATGAACATTCAATAACACGTTTGACATGTTGTATGTCTTCATCACTATATTCTATAAACTTTTCATGACCAACAATGACTCTGAATTGGCACATGCGACTCATATCCTAGCTTGTA